ACCAATTTACCCTTTGAACAATTATTCATACACATATCAATTAATACATTAATTAAATTATTGTTTATTTAATCTCATTTAATAATAACCGTTTGATGATAAAATGAACGATCAAGATCAGTTCACATAGTTTGTACCATATGGTTGGTTTCTATTTGAACCAGCCCCTATATATATATATATAAAACTAGTTAAAGGTGGAAGTAGATTGTTGTTTTTTAGTGATGAAAAGCTGTGTTGGCTGTAATCCATGTGAAAAGATGGAAGAGAATTTGTCACCTGTGCCAACATGTGCACCCAACAGAGACACGTACACAACAAGACATGATGCTTGACTTTTCAGTTGACTAATGACTACGTTTTTTAATTTACTTTTTGAAAATATAAATTAACTGTTACATTTTTGTTTTGTATATAACAATGATGATGATGATGATGATGATGTATCTACAATTACATAACCCAGTTAACACATAATACAACAAAAAACAAACAGACCACCTGCTGTCATTTCCAAGATAAATAAACAGTAGAATCATGATGTCCAATGGCTTACTCAACGTCTCCCTTTGCCTTTTCATTCACAGCTTATTTATTAATCACTATGGCTGCTTTGCATTGGGAGCTGCTGCTCTCTCTTATCCATCACTACCAATATCAACTTCTTAATTTGCCATGTTGATAACAATATTACAAAATAGTAATCGGAGATGTTTCATGGTTTTTATTTAAATGTGCATACCTTACAAATAAATTATTATCAGGGTATTCCTCAGTTTCTGATTTTTAGGGGTTTTTCTTTAAAGATAACCATAAAAAGTGAAAAAGTTAAGCAACACCCTGATAACCGTTCATCTCTATACAAGTAATTAAAAATGTTTTTTGATTTTTATACATGTATGCTTGTCATGCTTACACATACTCAAAAAATTACGGTACAAATTAATGATTATTAAGATCTTTCTTAGTTTTTTTCCCGTAAATCGAACCCTGTTCACCAATTCTTGATAACTCTGTTCAAACATGGCAACCCCAAGTGGACTATAAATATAATAACAAGAGTGTGATGTCAGTGACTTTTCCTCTTTTGTAATCTAATCCAAAATGGATATAAAGTAAAAGAAAAGAAATTTCCAAAGGTATCTTGACAAAGATCCAGGTTTCAAAATATTGTTAATGCAATCACACCCACCATGTGCAAGTTGCAACCAGCATTCCACTGTGGATCAAACAATCCAAGAATATATTATTTAAAACAGGTGGGATGATCAGGATGGATTTGAATGTCTAATGCACATACATACACATGCCACAAGTTGAAGAAATGTGAACATAATAACAAAAAGAGAGACCACCATCTGCAAAATCATCTTCCAGTCACTCAAATACTACCATCAAGTAATATATGCTGGAAAATGGCTACAAGCTTTTAACCAATCATGTTTTTGGTTCCAATGCCAATCAAGAAAACCAAGAATATAACAACTACACCCATCCCTCCCTTCTCCTGCTTCCTAATTATGTATGATTCCTTCCCTTGCGATCAAAATGTGTGCTTGTTTTCCTTCCAGCAACACACTGTCTGTAGATTCCATCAACCCCTAACTTGATAAACCATCCATCCAGATTTGGGATACAATGCTTCGCTACAAGCCCATTTCATTCGACTTTTGGTAATAACTACCTCCTCAATCTTCACTACTCTTCAAAACTCCTCATGAACTTTCGAAGACTCTCCCACAGGTCCATTAGTAGGCACTGAGTTGGTTTTCACTCTTTGGTAAAACAACAAATATGCTGCTGCTGTTCTGATGTCACCTTCACTAACAGGAGTTACATGGGCATCATCAAAGTGATACCATCTATCTTCTTCAACCAACTGCACAAAGTAAATACAATCCCACAATCAAATACATACATACATATATATACATATATATATATATATATTAAAAGAAAAACCAAGAATGATCAACTTGGCAACATGAGGTTTGCGTATTCCTTAAACCTTGAAATAAGGTTGGGTTTCATCATCCCACAATGGTGGAAGATAATAGGTTGAAATATGATGGGTATATAAACTAAAAATTATAGTGCAAAATTAAAAGAGAAATCAATGATGATGACTTGTTTAGCAATCCAAGTCTAAATAATACACAAGTGGCAGATTGGCTACTAGTAGTGTCTCTTACCTTTGCGTATGCAGAATAATGGCCACCACCAAGCCCACCATAATGATTGCTGATAGCATACAACTCGTAAACACTAGATCCACCAGACGCATCTTTATTTTTCACATATTTGCTTAAATCAAGATTGTGAATCGGGAAATTCACAAATGTGTCAAGTTTGTTCTTCAAAAATCGGCTGTACGAGAAGCGTTTTAGATGGAAGACTATAATATCAGGCAGCCTCCACAAGTCCAATTTCTTGGTGGCTTGGCGATGTTCCTTGCAACCAGGGCAATACCTGCATTAATAAATAAATAAATAAATAAAACGCATAACTAACATAATACTAAAACTGAGTAGCGGGGAAGCCAGTGTCTCAAATCTAGCCAACAATCATCATACCACATATCATCAGGTCCTAGAGGTTCCTCCTTCAAGAATGCGTCCAGACAAGAAAACAATGAGATAGATTCTTGTTTAGTTTTTTTAACAGTAACCCCGGGCTTGTGCACCATGGGAAGATCCTTGAGGTAGCTTGCATCATACAACTCATGTTCCTTGTCGGTCCAATCCAGCATAACCTTCACGATTTTGCTTGATTTTATAACAGAATTCTTTAAGATTGGTCTGCAACTCATACCCCTATCATCCGTTAAGCATAAGCGAAATGATAATTCCTCATCTTCAAAGTCTTTGTCCTTTGATGGGTTACCAAGTTCAGTACAGTCACTAGTGGATTCTTCACTGGCTTCTGAAGCAGAGCCATTTACCTTTGGACCATCACTCCTGTTTAATGATGAAAAAACTTTCCTTTTAAGTGGAACCAGAACTCTGTTAACTGCTAACTCAATATCAGCACCATTTTTTGCCCCTTCTAAATAGGTAACCAAGGGCGTCAAGAACCTCTTCCTCTCACCTGGCTTCAAACTGTCCAAAACAGTTGATTTGTTATCACATATTGCAAATAGAAGTAAAAAGTATAAAACCAGAAGTATTTAAGCAAGGCAACAATACAGCTAGAGTTGCAAACAAAGCATGTTAGAGCAAGGGGACACACAAAGATTTCGGTTTTTAGCTTTGATCATGCTAAAATTGTATTAACACATAAAAGAACAACACACGTTGAACTTCCAATTTTCAGGCTTAACAAAAACGCTTGCCAAATCAGAAGTCCGACCATCCTACCCTGCACTATAAACAAGTCCAATTGAAAACAACATACGAGTTCACACACAAGGTAACCCAAGAAGAATAGAGGAATATGTGTGATAACACAAGAGGAAAAGTACTTGTGGATGGAGAGAGAACAAGCTACTAAGGGGTGAACCAATAGAGATCTCGTGTCAGGTGTGCTTCCACAGTGACCACTCCTCTTGTGTGATTGTTCAAACCGATATTCCATTATCCAAAGATAAGCATGCATGGTCAATTCATTAAGCACATGAATAGCCTTGAAAAGAGAACAAAAGTATTGCACTTAATCTATTAAACTCGGTCTGTGCAAAGAAAGGAAATTGGGAACCTATACACATCCAATAAAAAGTAAAGTAAATACTTGATAGCGTGGATTTCTTGGATATCATTTTACAAATCCACCTATAACTGATTAAACCTGGAGATGATAAAATTATAGATGATCTGGTAAAAAAGGAGGTTATATGCACATGGATTTATGTAGACAATATTGCTGAAGAAGGTTCTCAATATATAATATATCAACCACACTCACAAAAAGCCACATAATCTAACAGTGGCGCCTTAGATGCCACCAAGGCCACCCACCCATGGAAGAGAAACAAATAAATTGAGGATGATAACTTACTTTTCCAGATACCGGTGACATATCTCTAGCTTTGGAAATTCAGCTTGTTTTTTGGAAAGTCTATAGGCTACAATGCATTCATCATCTTTGATTGTATGTAACGAATCCCCGTTCTCCAAGTAGCGATATATATGGTGCTCATATACCTACAGATCAAAAAACATCCCCATGAAAACAAACAAGATGACAAATATACGCGTGCATAAAAACCACCAACTAGCAATATCAATAAACAAGAAATATTACCTCTGCAAGAACCAGGATTTCATCACTCCCTAAGCAACATGCAGTAGCCAAAGCCTGGAAGAGATCCTTGCTGTAACCATGTTTTGAAACATTAACGGTAAACGGCATTGGTAAGCTACTTCCGTCTCCATAAAATACAGTTACCGTCATTGAACGAGTGGCCGTTGAAGGTAAAGGCAAAGACAAGTACATGAAGGGGTCAAAGGTAATTGAGATTTTGTCACAAACTGGACAAACCAGTGTTGACTTATATTGCCCCTGAAGATTTTGCCATCAGATTCAGCTTGTAAGTAGAAAAACGATAAATATAAATAGAACTTGACTCTGGGGTTGTTTGGTGCAGGCTGAGGAATGAGAATGAAAATGAAAATGACAGGGAATGAAAATGATATTCCCTCCAGTTCAACCTGAAATGAAAATTTGGGCTTATGAGGAATGAGCCCATCGTATTATAAAACCAAACAGTTTCTTTTGTTTTCATTCCCATTGATTACTGCTTAATACCTCTAACCAAACACCCCCTCAGATACACTGATCTAACTATTAAACCACAATGACCTCTGCTGTACAAATACTAACGGTTAAAGTTATAAGTAGCAATACTAATATAAAAATCCAAGCTGTCATCAATATAATGGAAATGAATGAGCAACATGAGTGCAAGTAAATGAACAAGCATGCACCTGGCAAACATCCACTACAATTGAATCATTTCGAGCTTTGTGGTAACTCCAGAACTCGTTTGCAACTTCCTCATCGGGGCGACCATCAGAGTCCTTTGTCTCAAAATAAGGCTTCTGCTTGACACGATTCAGATCTTCATGCAACCCATCAAGCAAGAATGCCAGAAGTTCCTAGAGAGAAGATACATCGACTTATTATCGTAAAATACAAACATGCTTAAATTAGTATCAGATATACCATGAGTGGGAAAGTACTTCCAAATAAACATTGGAAACTAATATCTTTCCAAGAAGAACATCGGGACCTAATAATTACAATTATATTGAAATGCTATTTGAACTCGAAAACCCCAGGTAGTTAATGTACATGATACTTCACACACATAGAAAACTAGGAATAATCATATAAACCATAATGGGACTTTATATTGGAAAATCATATAATATTTCAGAGGATAATACTGCCATCATTATTAACATACCACTATGCAAGATAATGTGCTTATGTTTTGACATCCATACAAACCAAGTTTAAAAGCTTGAAAAGCTTATGCAGCACTTACTTGAGAATCATGCTGATTATATCCACTAAACTGGGGAGCAAACCGAGCAAGTTTTCCTTTAAAAGCACGAGGAGGAACCGAGGTACGACCAGATGACCAAAGTTTCCTCAACAACTCACCAAATGCAACTGCAAGTTCACCCTGAACGACAGATATCAGAAACTTTAATTCCATAGTGCATTTCAGAAAGTATCATTTGCATAAAACATTCAAATTTGCCACGTACATGCATTCCTAAAGGATTTTGCTTGTTGATCTCATCAGTATAATCCTGCAAAAAGTACTCCACGAGGGGTGGAGTATGGACTAAGCATTGAAGTGCACTATTCATGAAACAAGTGTTCCCTAAATTCTGCAATCCTGCTAAACCTCTATCTCCTCCAGGAGCAGTCCTCACAGAATCATGAGCATCCTCCATATCTGTAGATATTGAGCTTAAAGCACTTCCCTGATACAAACTAGAACCATAATCTGCTGAATAACCATTAGACAAACTTGGTCCACCAGCTATTGTGCGAGATGATCTTTGTGGTTCCATGGGGACCAAAGCTAACTCATTTCCTGTAGAATCCATGCCAAATCCAGAGGGTATAAATCCATCAACTTGAACATCTAAAAGAATCTGTAAAAACAACCGGATTAGTAATAGAATGATGAAAAAACAACCACATTAGTAATAGAATAATGTAACATACTAGCACATATCATAACAAGAATAACAACATTTTATATGCCAAAATTGTGAAAGAAAAAAATGACTTGACAACACAATAACTGAAGTTTGTCAGTATAACCAACCCAGAAAAACAGGTTTATGAACAAGAAAATAGAGAAAAGAACAAACAATGATCAGAAACCAGCATGGTTAATGAAATTATGAATCCAACAAACATTGTATAAAAGAACAAAAGGGGAGGACAAAGTATAAGTGGGAAAAGGCCAAGACAAAAACCAAGACACCAAGTACAATATAAGAAAAAATGAAGTGGTGAATCAGCAGCCTCAATTTTACAAAGGTGACTTGGGCGGATACCCCTTTTGACTAAAGGAAAAAGAAAAGAGTACAATTTCATCATGAAAATGTACTGCAACAGCCTTGAGCATATCTATCCTGATAATAAGTTAAAAGTACTAATAATCAACATACTACGTAATATAGGTTCTAATGTGGTCACAAACATCAGGATACCAATATATATGTGTGTGTGAGACACAGATAGAATATGTACTGGAAATACAATGCCAAACAAGAGCAGGCTCATCTAGAGCCCCCAGTGCACATATGACAAGTAGGTCGAATAGGAGCTCACAAGTTCAATGATATGAATCATCAAACCACAAATTTAGTACATAATGATCAATGATCACTTCCAAGTCTTTAAGGAAAGCGTATTTGCATGTAGGCCAAGAGTTGAAGGTAAATCACAGAGAAGAGTAATTAGTTGCAGAGCTATTGGTGACATTTACTTAAAACAAAGAAAATTTTCCATCAATTTGATCATGAAATTTAAGAAAAATAATACAGGCCTAATCAGTTTGAGGTAAAGGGTAGGTGGGCTGGGTCAAATATTACTCACAGATTGATCCATCTGCAGGTTGGACTCCTCCAGGGTTTGATTCGAATCAGCCAGAGCTGATTGCCTACGATCATTAAAATAATCCCAAATGTGCACCTGTTCGAACTCAAGAGAGCAAAACAAGAAAATTATGAGTTAGAGAGGGAACAGAATTTATCCTCACAGTAACCTAAAATCATATCAAATCATGAAGTCTAACCTTCTCCAGCTCTACTCCTTTAAGTGCAGATACTTGCTTATAAAGTTCACGTAACGAGGCCTATATAACATTAAAAAGACCAGTATGTAAATGCTTAGTAACAGTTATAAAAGTATAGTGATATTTTACAGCAACCAACAGATTATTCCCTCAAAAACACTAACTTCACCTATATGGCAGTTCCGTTCTTCCTTTATAAAGATGATTCCATCATAAATGGCTTTCAACTAGGCAAGAAGATCGAAGAGGCTTTCAACATCCATATACTTCACCAGCTAGCCAATTTTCGTATGACCAAGTTAATAAAGTTCCAAACTTTGTGATTTGTGCCGGAATTCATGTTTCTTTCTCTGTAAGGTACAGATCTGCAAACCTGACCGAATTTCCAGCAATCACATACAGTGATACAGAAAGATCACTAGTTGGCACCAATTGGTAAGGTTTACTTATAGTAGAATGCCTCTCTGATCTTCTCGCCCTCTTTGGTCAGGACACGGAATTGCACCCTTTTTGCCAGAACCAGTATCCACTGAATTGTGGCACTACAACAAAAAAAATTGATGAAAAATAAGAAATGCAGTACCTTTTTACTTATGTGTATGATTATTTCACTCTTGTCTCTTGAATCAATCAATTTCAAAGCTAGGGGATACACCTCAACTGTATATGCCCCTTGGATTCCAAGTGCTATCATCTTCCTGGGTAAAGCCGGTCCTCCTTTGTACCTAGAAAATATATTTAGCATGAGGAAGAAATGTTACATACTGCACAGTGTCAAGATAAATTGTAGGTGACACCTATTATGAAATAATTAGTTATGTATTTTAACCCGACTTGTCATGCACTGAAATGTCATCAAGAGCAGGATGAAGTGTCAAAGCTCTCAAAATATCAAGTCAAAGTGCATAGATCATGTAGGTATTACTGCCTGTTTCCAGTGGTGCTCTTATAATTCAACAACCAACATACTATGAACAAAGAAAAAAATTCCCCAACGCATCATATAAATTAAACCATCTATTGAACATCTTATATGGTTATATGTCCCACCCAGCCATGCCAACAACTAATTAGATGAACATATTACCCTCACATCACCAAATTATCCACACACTAAACAAAATTATCTCATCTGCAATTTCCTATTTTCTAAATATGATGTCTGCAACTAATATCATGAAACAGAAAAACATATTCAAGTATTGGAGACTGAATAGAACAACTTAATACAAAAATTAATGTACCATCCATGAAGCTTCTCCCAAACTCCTTGAGGAACTAGAACGTAATCACTCCCTTCTAAAAGTAACCTAGAAATCTGTAGGTCACTCTTATCACGATCACCTTCATTTGTAATTATATCTGTGTTATCAATTGGTCCTGGTCTCTCGCTTGCTTTTGTCACAGGTGGGGCCTGTTTATCAGTAGAAAGCTCTTTGAACTGATATGCACTAATTTCCTCACCAACGTATTTCTGCCACTTTGTAAACCATCTGCTTATAGAAAAGAAGAGGATATCTTTATGTTAAAAGCGGTTCAACATAAGTTCCAGCAAATAATCAGCTAAATTTTGAGATCTATAATAAAGAAGAATAAGTACTAAAATAATTACCCTACAATGATGATGGAACTCTTAGCAGCTAATATATAACCCACATATGACCCCAAAACACCCTAAATAGTTTCACTAGGATAAGATGCTCAGACCATGCTGCTTTTTGCATCAAAACTTGATTCCATGAAGTGTTGTGCAGTAATTAATGTGGTTTTGCCATAACCTAGTGTTTTTTAACTGAAACACGTAACAGCCCTTAATTGCATAAACTTCGTAGCAAGTCATGCTTATCATATCTTCATAATCTAATTGATACCAAAATTTTAGGTTCTCTTGCATAAGCCTCCATTCTTTTGATGATATAATGTCAAGGAAAATAAGAACACAAATTGGAGGCATCATGATTAACAGGCCTTGTAATTTTCTATACTTGCTTAGTTGCTTGAAAGTAACTTGGTGTTTTGGTAGTACTTTAACATGGGATACTAATTAAGATGCGACTCATAATTTTATTAAACATTCATGCATTCTTATTGATGAAAATGATTGAGATTGATTAAATCTAAAGGTAACGTAACTTGCAATCCGTGCTAACTTGCTGCATATTCTGTTCAGGATTTTTCAACATAAGCTTTTATCTATTACTGCATGTGGGAAAGATAGTTTTTGGTCAACTTGTCAATCCTCTATATTTATGAGTTCTGTCTAAAAACAATTCAACAGTATCTTTGATTGTTGTCCACAATTTGTATGCTGATCATGTTTAAGGACTTGCAGTCTTGCACCAAATAAAATATTCATGCAAACCAACAAAATGAGGTTATGATGTCTTTAAAGATCCTCATAAGATAAGTAATTCATAGATGATAATTGATCGGTAGTTCTGTACACTATACGTAGGACAGGATAAAAATCCAATAGCTAAAACAGGCAATAATTTGACTAGACACAAATAGGTAGTTCCAGAAATCATGTAATCGTCTTACAATCACGACTCATTGCCTAGAATTGCCATCCCAAGAAATAAATAAAAGTGAATCTTGTTTCTTCATAAGCAAAAACTATGTAAAAACTGAGACGAATAAATATTAGATTACCTAATGGAGACAACATAGTATAAGTTGCCTTCTTTCAAACAAGACTCGGCCTTCTCTGTTAACTCCTTGACAATCCTTCTCTCTTCCTCTGGAGTGCACGGCAAGCATAACGATTCGTTATCCATCAGGGAACCCGAATCGGGAATCGTCATGATCGCTACAAAAAACCTAAAGAAAAAAAAAACAAGAAAAGAAGAGATTCAATCGGGCAAGGGTCTGAATTTAGTAAAAGATTTGGCAAGATTGAAAAGGGGAAAAAGGGATTATACAGTTGGGAAGTATTGATAACAAGAGTTGAGTATAGATCGTGAGGGAGAGGTGGGAGATTTGCGAAACCCTAGATTACAGGGCGATTCGATCTGGAAGAGGAAGATTGTTAGAAATAAAATGGTTTACCGTCCTTTGAGCCACCAAACCTTTCCAATTTATACCCGTCTCCGCAACAACCTACCCTTTCAATTCTATTTCATTTCATCACTCCAAATAATAAATTAATATCTTTTTATTTAATAAGACAAAATTTAAAAATCAATCATATAAAGGTGGTGTTTGATTGGTTTGAATTTGATTTTAAATGTCAAAAATACCTAAAAGTCATAGATTCAAATCCAATGAAGAATAAAAATCCCTTTGTGAAATACTGAAATCAACTAAAAATCCCTAAAATTCTAATTTTGTAGGCTATAAGAAATCTAGCAAGGAGTCCCTTGGTCACGTAATGCAATTAGAAATTGGTTTAGTGAGTAATGCAAGAAAATTCTTGACGTGGGTTATGGGTTTGGGTTTACTTTTGGGTCACTCTAACCCAATCCATCTTGGCATGTGCCATGCATATGGTATGAGTTCCCACCTCATACTTTGACATTTCTATCTTCACCCACAACCATTACAAAGGAAGTTATGTAGTTTTGTGTGTCCACCAAATCATGTTTTATGTAATTAATAAGAGATCGACAATTACAAACGATTAAATGATTACAACATAAACACTTATCGGGTAAGTTTTTACCAGGTGTCACTTGTCGTGTCCATTGAGAATGGTAAAGACAGATAATTACCGGGAATCTTACCCGATAAACTTTTACTGGTTTTACCAACAATCCATTTGATGATTGAGAATGTTATTAGATAAAAGAAGTGAAGACTATTGATAAATATTTATCTGATAAGCTTTTGATAAATTACGAATTATATGAGATGGATTTTTGACCATAAAGGGGCATGAAAAGCTTAAGCATATATAAAATGGCATGATTTAACTTGGCACTAAACATGGCACTATGTTTTGTCTTGTTTTTCATATTATTAATAGGGGTGAGCTAAAAAGAATTATGAAGGAAAAAACAATCGAAAAAATCATTTAAACCGTTAGATTGAGATGATCTAACAAATATGAAATAAATATTACCTACCATTTTTTTTTTAAATTGAAAATCGGAGAGATATAACAAAAGTTGGAGCTAGAAACATATTACATATAAAACGATCACTTTATTATCTATAAGTTGACCTCAATTTTGATATATTTTTTCATCCCATTTTTCAAAGTTCTCTCTTGATCATTTTCCTATAATGCTTAAATACTTGTGTTAAAAAATTATTGGTTGTGATGACGTGGAGTCCTTCGAATTTTTTGTTACAAGTTTAAACTCGTTGTTCAAACACCGTATTAGGAATTAAACGATTTTTCATTTATTTCGTGTTGTTGCGCTTGATCTGAATCGTCATTTTTTTGTAAGGTTCAAAATAGCGTGAGGCGTGGTATAGAGGCGAGGTCAAGTCTAAAGACTTACACACCACGATGAGGACGCAACGTTTTTCAAGGCGTGACATAAGACGGAAATTTTCTATGTCATATTTAGAATTGTATATTTACATATATGTTTTTCATATATCATCTAATCACATGATGTATTAAAAAATGTACATTTATATTAAAAGAAGAAAAATCATATAAAATATTATTATAAAAATAGCTTTTGATTTAATATTTTAATTATAACTTTTATAAAAGTAATTTTACAACTTCATTTGAATTGTGAGTCCATAACATTTGTAAATTCATGAAAGTATGAGTTATATGATTATATATATTTATAATGTGTAAAATATAAAGTTAAAAGTGTGAAATACAAGAAATATATAAATAAAAAATATACTTTGTTTTGAAAAAAAAAATTACATCTTATAATAAATGCACGTCACGGTGCGCCATGGCCCGCCTCAAAGCGCCGTGACATGAGCCATCCCTTACAGAAATGCTATGAGCTATTTTGTAACAACGGATACGCATCTTGCGTCATATCGCATCATGGCGCACCTTTTTTTACACTGCTTTTTTGTTACTCTTGCTCTTTTTCTTATCTGAATAGCGGATTCAATAGGGTTCTAGCTTCTAGGGTCACGAGGGCAAATGTTCCTTTTTTGAGGTACCCGGTAAGAGATCCAATGGAGAGGAATACAAATAACGGGGTTTTTTCAATTGGACCATGTTGTCATTAGCTAAACTCATGGGCATTAGGCATAACAGCAAAAAGGGTAGCAATTTACGCCATAAATATGGGGTTTATTTAAACTTATGAAGATTCACACTAGTCGTGCTGCTAAGCGAAGCAGCAGAATGCTGCAACATAGATGGCGAAAGCATCACTAGCTTACACTTTATAATCCTTAGAAATAAGATTGAAAACTCCTTTTAATGGTATGCGATAGAGGTGATCATTTGCAGTCCAAGTTGGGTCTAACTTTTTTTTTGTCCAACAGGTCTAATATTGTAAACCCAAGCCTTTTTTTGGGGCTAAACAATTTGCCATTACAAGCACTATAAACGGGTCAGGCTTGCCCACGGACTAACGGGCCTAAAAAGTGTAACTTTTAATTAACAAATATGGAACCAAAAACTAAAGGAAAAACATCGTCGCAGTTAAATTTTTAAGCAACTACTGACTTTATCCATTGTTGATCAATCAGGACTTTTGACATAATGACGCTAACAAAGATAATGTAGAACCCTTTGGGTCCTCCAGAAAAACCAAAGAGTCCCAACTTCCATGCTATAATTTTAGTAACTTAATTTTAAAATATACTAGTATAATTTTAATTAATGATAAAAAATATTAATTATAAAACATAAACGGGTTAGGCGTGCTTGTCGATATTTATTTTTACATTCCTCATGTCCGCCTGTTAATTTTAACAAACAAACTCGGGCCCGTCCATTTTTTCGATAATGGTTGTCCAAGTTCTAGTGACGCGGATGGACCGAGTCTAACGGGTCGTTCCGCCCATGAACAGCTCTAGTATGCGGTTACCGACAGTTACCAACAATCACAAGTTAGTTACTAGTGGTTATAAGACAGTTAAGAGTACTCACTGATCAATATGTCAGTGAGCCCCTCACTGATCAATAATTCAATGTATCAGTAATTCCCTCACTGATCAGGTAACACGCTAATTGGCGCCGAGCCACGAGGGGCACTGCCCCTTGCCCCCTGCGATTCAGCTATCCCATGTTTAGTTTAACTTATAAAAGTATCCTTTATGCATCTCTTAACTCAACCAATACCCCTTCAAATCTCAATTATATCAAACCACTAATTAATAACACTTAAATCAACAACATATCCCATAAAACTTATCAAGTAATCAACTGCCATGACATTATATTTGCTTTAAATTAAATGGGGTTTCCCATGAAAGAATATATATATATATATATATATGTATATATGTATATATATATATATGTATATATGTATATATATATATATATATATGAGGATATGAAATGAATGTTTCAAAGATGCAGAATGCATCTCAGTGATTTCCCATCCATAAGTAACTGGAAAGCTTTGTTGATCTCACTGAATGGTAGTTCATGGGTTATAAAGTCATCCAATTTCACTGCCTGCATAAAAAAACAAACCCAAATCATAAATTATATGCTCAAAAAAAGTTGTAAATTTCTAGTACCAGCTGAATGAATTAAGCAATTACCCCATGCATGCATTTTTTGGCAAATTCAGGTAGCTGAGATTTCCCTTTGAAGTCTCCGAAAACGGATCCAATTATTCTCCGACCATCGAAGAGTTCCATGGGATGAAGAGGGAGCGTTTTCGGAGTCTGATGAATTCCCAGTAGTACCGTCAAACCCCAACCCTGTACAAAATATCGATCATTATTCACCACTACCGTTTGATACAACAGTTTTATATCCCTTTTCTCGAAAATTAACCATCAGGATGCATGATGATATATTCGAATACCTCGTGCGACGAAAGGAAAGCCTCCCGGAGAACGTCCAAGTTTCCCGCACACTCGAAGCTAAAATCTACTCCTCCTTCCGAGATTTCCCTGATTTCCTGGCAAGATATTCGACATCATATATATCAGCAAACATGTTGATTAGTGTATTGGCTTTAATATCATATATTTTTAATGTGCTAGTAGACTACTTTATATATACATATATACTAACCTCGTGGACTGGTTTGTTTAAGTCCAATGGGTTTATGATATCAGTGACACCCATGGCTACACCTCTGCTGAGCTTCTCGGAGTTTATATCCACCCCTATGATTTTGGAGGCTCCTCTGGATCGTGCTCCTTCAACAACCTATACATCGATCGATCATTATAATTTATTACAACATTCAGATATGTTTAACTTTCTATAAAGCCGATTTGATTCTGGTACAATGGAATTACCGCGAGTCCTACGGCTCCGAGACCAAAAACAGCGACAGACGAACCGGCTTGTACATCGGCTGTATTCCATGCAGCTCCGAGGCCAGTGGAAACGCCACAGCTAAGGAGGGTCATGGTCTTGAGGGAAGCACTGGGGTCGATCTTGACGACACAGGCGGAGTCAATCACCGTGTACTCGCTGAAAGTCGAGGTATTGAGGAAATGGTAAATGGGTTCCCCTTGTTTTGTCCAAAACCTCGTCTTTCCATCGTTTGCCATCACACTCTTGAACGGATCCACCCTAAACTTTTTGCACAGATTACTCGTTTTCGACTTGCAGAAAACACAATCTCCACATTCTCCGTTAAATATCGGAACAACGTGATCTCCAGCCTTCATATCCTCCACCCCTTCTCCCACACTCTCCACCACCCTATATTGTAACAAAATTAAATGTCATGATGCTGCAGTTTAACACTGTATACAATGACACCATTAATTTTATATATATATATATATATATATATATCTTTAAAATCTTAGATTATGTATAATTATATATACCCAGAGGCTTCATGGCCAAAGATTCTTGGATATACTCGTTGAGCTTCATTCTACATAGAAATCAAAACCAAGAGTCAGTATAAGCTTGTTGATCAAATTCAGCCAAGATTAATTAGCTTTAATTAATGGATTAATTATACCTTTCCTTGCCAAGCACCAAGATCAGTATGACAGATAGAAGTGAAAAGGATCTTAATTCGGACCTCCATTTTCTGGGGGATATCCACCTGAATTTCTTCGATGACCAATGGCTGGCCAGGACCCCATGCCACGGCGGCTGCATGAAATTCAAAATCAGATCTTGATAATTAACATGATGAGGTTAATTAGAGAGAAGATGGATACCTTTGCAGCTGATAAGCTGGCCTGCTGTAGTCATGTTCTTGGAGTTGGATGTGGTGTTCATCTGTATAATAGCCATATCCGTTGATCTAAATGGTCTTGGATCTTGTGTCTTACTGTCTTGTAGATCTGTACATGTGTATGTATATTATATATTATATATAGTGGACTGATTAGTAGTACTCAATGTAGTCAACTTGTATTAAGAACGCGTTTCTTGAAAGCCGTCTGTTTTGAACACATGATCCATTTCAATAATGGAGTACACTACGTTTTATTTTCTTGAAAATTGTTATTTTTTTCGATTTTTGTTCTATTATCTTACAATTTATATTTGTATTTGTTTTTATGATTTACTATTTATTGATGTTTTTATTCATGATACTTAACAGAAATTCATTAATAAACTTAATCTTTGAAATAAAAACACCATTAAGTTGCAAATTATGAAAATAAAAACCAAAATTTTGCAATTTCAATAAACCACAGGGACAATAAATGTAATTTACTTCAACTAATTAAAGTAGCTTCTGGGGAAAGTCCCTGCTGGTCACAGGAGTAGTTTGATTGGTCTTATACAAATCTACAAGTCAACGTCACACACCCTTTTTTTTTTCAACTCGAAGATATTAGTCGTCTTTTTCCTACTATAGCAAAGGTTTTATCTTTATTAATATTATAAAATAAATAAAATATTTGTGTGCAATATAACAAAATATATCTTGATTTAATATTTTATTTTTTTGATCTCTGTTAATATTATAATATGAATTTATATGGTTTTGAGCTAAGTATAATAATTTTTTTTAGATATAAATTTGAAAACATATAAAAATTCTCAATTTTTTGTGTAGTTTCTTATTCAATTTTTTTTTTTACAATTTAATTTAGGTTTAATAACGAATTAATTTATTTTTGATTTAATAATATAATTTTTATAAAGATAATAACTAGATATTTTTTTAGAATTCAATAATTATCCTAATTATATGTTATATATATTTAAAATAAGAATTTTATAATGTCTTTAATTATATTTATCTACAATTAGTTACACGAATTCCAATATAGAGCTTAATGAGTTGTACTTATGCAGATTTTACTTGTAATCTTGAATTTTAAGTACTATGCATCAATAAACAGTATTTCACGTATAAAAGATGGTTTTTAAGAGTTTTTGTCAAATGTTATATAATATAGTGTAGATATATATTATATGGTTTTTGAAAAAGTTAAGTTTACAATTTATTAAGTCATAAGATCTTTATGAAACGAAAAAAGAGGTTGCATTCCCGATCTAAAATAAATTGTCAATAGAAGTAAACAAAACAATGTTTTATCAGATTTAATATAAAAGTATTAGGTGAAACGGTTATCATTTTTTTTTTGCTTTCTGATAATAGTTGACAATCTTTATAAGCCAACAAAACATCAACAAACCTTTTTGAAAGGACGACATTCTGAATCTCTTGCTCCTTATTTAAGTTCCCACTATATACCTACTACAAAAAGGAAATTTGGTCGAGTGAAAAAGTCTCATAAACTGATATATAACAAAAGCAAGAAATACAAAAGTGCAAAAGTTATCGAAAATTTTATTAAACAAACAATAGTACAGAAGTTAATAACGAAAATCGAATATTGATGTAGACGTATCACTTACGCACGTCACACAAAACAGATACAATTTCCTTTCATTTACTTGTATTTTCTTTTATATTGTATCTTATATTACATGACTTTCTAGATTCCTTCAAAGTGATGCGTGTTAGTTCAAAGTTGAGTCTTCCGAAATAAGTATTTTTTAAATTTGTCTAATTTTATTGTATTTTTTAATGGGAGACATATAGCTACACATGAATGACCAAAGACTAATTCAAAGGACTTAATTATGATGGGACCTCAAACACACACACTTTGTGTAACAGTTGGTACAATAAAAAGTCACATAGCCACCATGCATGTCGCATGTATACCAAAGTGTGAGATGATAGGGCTAATCACATGGCCACAGATGGTGTGATGACATGTATGCTATAATGGCATGCCTATCGTATTCCCATAGATGACTAGTAACTTGAGATACTTAAGATTAAATCGTCATAAAGTCTGAAATATGATCAAGTTATATCAAGGAGTATCGAAATCAAATGAATAATTAGCTATAACAGATCGGCAATGTACAATCAACGCCGATACGAATAAACGTGCATGAATACCTAATGCATGCTCGATTGGTTCTTCGTGTTTTCCTGAATTTCTAATTGAGTGGTGTTTGCTTTGTATCTTTATCCCTTCTTATTAAATATGTTTACCAGATCCTCTATCATCATTTTTCCAGAAAAATAAGCGTGCATCAAAAGATATAAGCATGTATTTAGGAAAGAAAGGTATTCGTAGAATTATTGAACAAGTAGAATAGACATGAACGTAGTAAGATATTTGTACAGGTATATAATGAATACAACAAATACGACTTGGAAAGAACATACGGGGGGATTTGAAGCTATTGGGTTCCTTTGGTCGACATTTGTGTTTTTAATCCCATAAGTTTTGGCTATACGTAGATTCGATTAATAATCAGAGATTTCGTATTTAAAATCATTAAATAATTTTATAACGCAAAACTTCAAATAGATTATATTAGTAGCTAATAGAATAATGAATAAAATCTGTTTAAATAAAATAATAATGAAATTACCATCTAATAATACAATAAGACTTAATTATTTGAGAACTCCAAAATTTATGACATTCATATTAAAGTTTTGTTTCACATATTTTTTTAATCTAAATATAATATTTAATGTATTGATTAATATATATCTGTTTCATATGTATTCGGTTCACATTGATGTATTTTCTATTTTACATTACTACATGTGAAAAAAATATATTGTGAACCATCTTATCCATAAATAATATATGATGCAATGTTCTTAAAAACTCACAAATAATAAATTAAATAATATAGCTAACTATAGAAGCAGAGATAAAAATTAGAGTAAATTACATTTTGTGTCCCCATAGTTTGTTAAAAATTTATGTTTTCGTCCCTAGTCTTCATTGATTACGTTTTTGGTCATTGTGGTTTGCATTATATTTCTATTTTTGTCCTTGGCACTAACGTCGTTGGTGTGTTCCAATTAAAACACATCACTTTAATCTCTTTAACTTTCCCGCTTTTAACTACTCCCTTTATTTCACTTTCACATTTTGTGTTTGGCAGAGCGTCCCGTCGCATGTTAAATGTGAGATTTTGAACAGGACCCCCGAAATTTTGGTGCCAAAATTTACATGTGTTTAGAGTCTTTTTATTGAACTGTGTAAAACTATAGCCGAAATTATTTAGGTTCAAACCATTAATTATTTGGTTTTAGGTTCAAATCATTAACTGTTTAGGTTTAGTTTTTTATTGTTAATCGTTTTAAGGTTTAGCTCATATTTATTCTTAACATATATTCTTTGTCATCTCATTTATACAATGTAATTAAAAGTTTTGGATGTAGTAGAGCCTCCAAAAAGATTAGAATGTCACTGGTGTTCAGCATTTGGAAACAAAGTTGCAATAGCTGGTATTATCCCATATTATAAACAAGTTAAGATAAAGTGGATAACTCAAACAACAAATGTATAAACCAATATAAACAAGTGAACAAATTAAACAACAAATGCATACCCAGGATGAAAGTGAAATAAAGAGATATATTTAAAAGCAGGAAAGTTAAAGAGACTAAAATGCCCCTCATATGAGGGGCACGTGATGTTTTTTAACGGGAACAAAACAACGGCGTCAGTGCCAAGGACAAAAATAGAAATATAATGCAAACCACAATGACCAAAAACGTAATAAATGAAGACCAGGGATGAAAACAGAAAGTTTTAACAAACCACAAGGACTGAAAACGTAATTTACTCTAAAAGATATTTCCAAATTCCACTATATAATTAATATAGTAGCCCATGTAGTAATATCAGTCAGGCCCACAAAAATTTAAATCAGCCCAGTGTGAACAAAATCAAGGGGTCTCAACTCTCAACTTAACCCTCACCCGCCCATCACCAGATCCGAGTTTTGACCCGTCTTCTTCCCCTGTCGAAACATGGCAGCGACGGAGCTGTTTTTAACTCGATTTGTGATCGTTTTTCGTGATTACTTTTGCAATAGATCACTAATCACAATACATATTAACACTAGGCATAAGGTTTATGATTAAACTGAAATCATAAAGCTACAATTTTGGGGTTTTGATGGCGTTTTAAGCAAATGCCGGTGCTGTTGGCTGATTTGGCCAAATCAGAGGCTTTGGGTCTCGGTTTCTAGTTCAAATAATTTGAAGACATCATATCGTAACTAAGAAATGGTTGATTAAAAGAGAAAGTTACCTAGAATGGATGATAATTTACTGAACGTAATTCGTCCTGTTCCTCCTCCTTTCTCAACCATCGGTAATTTCGGAGGTGTTTCATTTTGTTTGGTTTTATACACTGTTCTGGAAATGAATCTTATTCCGTCTTCGACATATTTTGTATAATTTTTTTTTAAATAGAGAATCACTAGTCAAAATTACTAAAAATATTAATTTTTTATTTTAGAGATTTTATAATTGATTATATTATTTAAATGTTTTATAATTTTATGATAATAATATTTTTTTAAAAACTTTATATAAAAATATAAGAATTCAACTTTCATCGGTATAATAAATAAAAAAATCATTTATTTTGTTATAGTTTTAGAAATTTATTTATATTGAAAGTTTTCTGTATGATTCTAAAGAAGTTGTTGGAATATTAATAGAATAAAAAGTTGATTTTTTTTTTTATTTTGGAAAAACCGTTGGAGATGCTCTTATATTCTTTGATTTTTTTAATATTAAAATATCTCCAACATATTCTCCAAAATCGAGAATCAAAAATCAAAATCTTAAAAATAAAAATATTCATCTCTAACGGTTTTTTCCAATTTATAGATTACAATATAAATTATATTATTAAATGTTTTTTAATAAAAAATTATTTCTCCCTCTTACATATTTAATTTCAAAAATTCTTATTGATAAGAAA